GGGGTCCAAAGAGTTCCTAGAAAGAAACATGCGCAAGCTAACATCCAGAGTTCAGTGCTCAGCCGCAGCACTTGGGGCGGTTCCATACATGGGGGATCCAGACAAAGCCCAAATACACTTACTATAGGCCTTGCTCGCGGGACTCCCCAACTTCGCTTTGCAGAACCCATTGCAAGGAACATGTACATAACGGGGTTTTCGGTCGCATACTGTATCTCACAAACGTGATAGACATTTGCGCTAGCATACATGATAGTTACACACGTAAGAAGAGAATTGCGGCACACCCGAAATGCACGTACAGAATACACACGCACTTACAACCTCAGGCAATATATCCTATGAGCAACATGAAGTTGGTTCTTCTAGGTCAGTGTGTATGTGTCTGTGGAGATGTCACAGGCATGCATACAGACAGAAAATTCTAAATGCATGCCTCCACCAACACACGCGCACGTACATACACGCACACATACGTACATAACTACCTGCCTACGTAGATCGTAAAAGCACGCTGAAACAGTCCGGCACCTCCCAGGGGATTCCGTAATGGGAGCCTTCGCCGTGCGCCTGGCCATGTGCCACATTTAGCGCCCTGCTATGGAAGGCTTGGGATCTATGCTTGAAGGATTCTAGGGGCCTTTGATTTAGGGATTCGAATTTAACGATTTAGGTAAGGCTCGAAGCTTATAGGCGTTTTAGGAGTTGGGTTTAGGATTTGGGTTTAGGGTTTAGGCTCTGCGCCTGGGTCTTGGGGATTTGGTAGTTTCCTTAAATAGGGGGAGCCCAAAATAGATCCCCAAATACTATAATCCTTATTATAGGGACTCTCAAAAGATAACCCTAATTTTGGGAAACCCCCCATAAACCCTAAACCCCTAAACCCCAACATAGGGACCCAAAGAGGTACCCCGAACTAACTTTTACGGTGTACCCGGAACCCTGGCGCCACCTGCCGTGCCAACTCGACAGCCTCCATTAGCACTGCATCCTCCGCAAGGCTCCGCAGCGCCGGCTCCTGACGAACCCCTGGGCTCAGGGTGTATTGGGGTTGTTATATTAGGGTTATATAGGGGTTATTTTGGGAT